AGAGAGAGAGAGAGAGAGAGAGAGAGAGAGAGAGAGAGAGAGAGAGAGAGAGAGAGAGCGCAAGCTCTCCTAGACTGCAATGCTGTCCCTCCAGACCAGGAGGCAGCAGAGAGAGGACACAGACTAACTTGAAGATAAGGAAGTGCTAGGTTCCGCCCTAGTCTGAGTTTAAGCCTGGCCTCTGAGGGTAGCATTGAGCTGATATCATCTGTTAACTGGTCATGTGAGGGTCACAGGAAAGAGAAATGTTGAGACGTTAAAGAAGGTTTCCGGAAAGGAAGCCTTGTTTCCAGTGCGGCATCTATCAGATAACCACGCCAGTAGGCAAGATATCACTTAAGGAATGAAAGAAGCTAAGCATCATCTTAAGTGAAACGATTAATTTAGCAATTGAGAAACGACTCCCTGTTTATGTGCATGCGCACTTCAGGCAGAGATTTGCTTATTGTGCTCTGTTTTATGCACTTTACTATTAATTAATTTCTTTAAGTTTTCACATTAAATTAAGGGGCTTAAGCAAACTTACATCGAGCAAGCCTATAACTGTCTTTGATCGCCAAGAGTATATGCTTCCTATATGTGTGTCACATTTTGGTAACTAGTTCTAGTATTCACGTACTAGTTCTGTGGTCTTCATTATAATTATCATACCCGCTATGTTGACCAACAATCTTTTATGTCACTTTCAAAATTGATTTTGTGTACCGTGACCTCGCACCAAGGAAGACAAAGCTTTCTCCTCCCAGTGTTAGAGATGGAATCCAGGACCTTTATACACACTAAGCAATTGCTTATTCCTGAGCTATGTCTCCAGTCCTTTGACATCTTTATATATTCTGGATATGAGTTTTCAGATAAAAAGCTGGTAAATGCCATGCCCCATTCTGTAAAATGTCTGCACCCCGCTGTTCTCTGCTGCGCAGAATTTGTCAATTTGATAAAATCTTATCTGTCAGTTCTTGCTATTCTTTCCCGAGTTTGGGGGTTTCTATTCAGAAAATCATTGCCTGCAGCCAGTGTTTGGAAATGCTGTCCCCATAATGTCTTTCTAGTGATTTCGGAGTATGGGGTTTTACATTTTGGTCTTTGGTCTGTTTTTAGTTTTCATATCTATTTACCTAGCAATCATCTATGTGCACACATGTACATATGACTTATAAAAAGTTATTGGCAAGTTGATGTGGCAAAAGAAAACTCTTTTCAGCTGTTGGGGATGGAAACTAGTTCTCTGTGTACAGCAGTAAGGGGGTTCAGCAAAAAAAAAAACAAAACAAAAATATAAAAAAAAACAAACCAGGACTCTGGTCTTACCCATGGCTTGAGTACTTTCCTAGCATGCTCAAGTCCCCAGGAAGCATCATGAGCACCAAGGAACAAGGAAATAACTATAATAAATTGAATTGGACCCAGCAGCCCCACTTTTTCCGGGTGCAGATCTGGAGAGAGTGAGATGAACATGGTGAAGACAGGCCTGCATGTTCGAGTTCATCGTGGCCCTTCACACCGGGCCAGATTCATCCATAAAGAAGACTGAAGTCCTCCCGTTTGCAGCACAGTATGCGGAGCTGGAGGATTTTCCATTAAGTGGAACAGGCTAGACAAGCACCCAACGTTCTCGCTCCCATGGAGACTGCGAAGCGTTGTCTCTCTAGTGCAACAGTGATTTTTTTAGGGCCTGGAAGGGCTCGGGGGAGGGTGGGTTTGACCTGTGCTCGTCACGTGCATGTATCGGCATGTATAGAGGTAGTTGGGACCTCATTAGCAGGTCCAATCAGTACACGTTAGCAAAATATAAATATAGGAAACACTTCTCCAGTCGATGAACCAATGATATGATGGAGCTTTACTGCTAACATGGAGAAACTTTAGCTATTTAGACATACAGTCTAGGTGGCCACAGCATTCCTCTACGGAGAAGTCCACTTCAGAGAGAAGCTCTAGCTCTCTTCATCTGAAGGAAGGAAGATCTTGAGAAGATGAGGAAAGGAGACATTTTATGGTAGCCAGGTTGGTGCATAAAATTAAGGTACGGTCTCCATAACAACATACAACCCAAAGCAGCAGGTGCTGATGCCAAAACTGCAGTAAGTTATTCCTTCTGCCTTGTGGAGAAAAATGAAGGTCACTATCCCGCACAACAGGTTTTCAGTAGAGAGCAAGCCATCTTCTCTTGGAAGATGATGCCATCTAGAACATTCCACACCTGGTTTTAAAGATTCAAGGAAGAGGCTGGTTATCTCCTAAGGGCTAACGACTGCAGGTGATTTTAGTGAAGCCTGTTAGGAAGGGAACTAAACCTAACTGGCCTGCGCCCTAAGAATGGAGCAACAAAGTCTGGATATTGACAATCAGCTTGCTGTGTAATTTACTGAATATTTTAAACTCTTAGTAGTAATAGGGAAAAAAAACTTTACACTTAAACCGCAAGGCACTCACTCTCTTGGAAATGAACAAGATGCCTGTAACACAACGTCCATACTGTAGCCTACAGGTCAAGGAATAATTTGAGTTTCAGGTCTCATTATTTAAGGAAAGATTCCACAGTTCTATAGTTGCCATACGTGTATTTTTTCTTATGCAGTGTAAGTTGAAAACTATTTAGAAAGGCTTTAACAGTCCAGTTGATAGTAAGGCCAATTGCAATGTGTGTGAAAATGTCAAATATCAACAAGAAATTTGAAAGAAATTGATTCTAGCCTTTGAGAAAGAACAGTTATGGTCTTGAGACTTTAGTGGAAGAGGGAAACACATAGGACCAAAGAGGTAAGAGAATTACAACAGAGATACGGCCTGAAGATGCCACCAGAATATTACATAAATCTCATGACAAAACCTGAATGGATAAGGATTTACTCATGATGATAGTGGTGTCTTGAGATGGATTCAGCACCTGGTGAAGATGCTGTAACATTCTTGAGATAACAGCAAAGATGATAGTTGACACAGTAGTGGTGGTCTTGAGAGGACAACACACACCAAAGATGAACTCTAAGGTTTATGCTTTTATTTATGTTTTCAGAATAATGTATCAATGCTGGATAAACTTCAACAAATTTAACCCACAAAGGCACAATGCTAAGGCAGCTAAGAGGAGAGGAGAGGGCTGAATGGGAACTTTGTGCTATCTGCTCAGTTTTCCATGTTGAATCTCCAAAGGTTTGTACGCCTCAGGACCTCTTGCAGTGTGGGAGTGTGTGTGTGTGGGTTCTTTTTCTTTTCTTTTTTAAAGTCAACTGTTTTCTTATGTCCTCTCTTTTCTAAATGATTTCAAACGGAGCGATTCCACTTTCTTTCCGCTTGGATGATTTCCATATATAACGAGAAATTAAGAACAGTGTGGAGCCAGATCCGCTGATCTCATTGCATTATGCAAGCCCACTTTTTCCTGCTTTAGAAGAAGTGAAACACTTAGCTTGTTTTCTTTCTTCCCTCCCTCTTCTTTCCTTCCCTCTCCCCTTCCTGCTTCAACACTATCCTGTCAATTTTTTCCTAGAAGACTTAAAAGATAGAGAAAGCCCCTGACTGATCCACGTTCATCTCACCCTACCACTCATGCCCACTGCCCATTACTGGGTTCTCTGGAGTGGATGATTTCCCTCCTCCCTTCTTTGTCTTCTGGAGACAGAGTTTCTCTGTGTAGATCTGGCTGTCCTGGAACTCGCTCTGTAGGCCTCTACCTCTGGAGTGCTGGGATTAAAGGCATGCAGGAGTGAATGATTTCTAGGCTGACGTTGCTGGCTGGGTTCCAAAGGTACAGCTTACTGTCTTTGAAACCAAAATGACCTGCAGTTCTTCAGAGCGGTGAGCATAAATTGCCTCACAACAGCGACTACTTGCTTTTCCTGGCTGTCTGGAGCGTTGGTAGATCTCTGTGAGGCTTCTTTTCCTTTTCTCTACACAGGGCTCCGAATGTCACCCTTCCTCTGTGGCATGACTGCTGAAGACACACAGGAGTTGGATCTTGCCCTCAAGGACAGCATTTTTCTTGAAGAATATACAGAGTGTTTCCCATGCTGTCTTTGAGCTGCACTGGGGGATCCTTGTTGGTCTAGAGGCCACAGGACAGGGGACACCTGGACATGAGGAAGGACTGAGAAACCTGCCTCAGGCCAGGTGTCCGATCGTACCCAGGTGAAGGGAGTGGGCAGAGCCACACTGTGCCTTCCTGGATGGACAGAGCACCGGGCATGCGTGGATTCTGAGTGTCTCCTGGATTGTTCCAGTAATTTAAGAGG